GTCTCAACTGGTGATTATTTGTTGCATTAGTTACCCTGAAAACTGATAGGTGATCAAACGCAGCGGTAGTCTCTTCAGGAAGTACACAAAAGAGCTTTTAGGAAGCCTTGTAGTGGACACATGATCATTGGAGCGGCAGAGTCAAGTGCGGGGCAGACGACATTGAACAGTCACGTGACTGTGACGGCGTGTTCAGCTACTCTTGCTCTAATAGAGCGCACCTGTTTTATTATTTATTTATTTATTATTGGGGTCTGAGAAATATAGTTTATTCCTATCACGTAAAGAGAGGACTAGGCCTATAAGCTGGAGAGAAAGCGAGATTTTCAAATACGGCATGTAAAAACGCTACTGGTGAGATTTTCGCTGTTTTTCAAGCAACGGAAGCCAAACCAATAACTAGACCTCAAAATGAAGAATGCTTTCAATTCAACTGTAAGAATCCCCGTAACATCATTCCGTGGGTCTCTGATTGGGTGGCCGTGGGTAATCAACCGTTGAAAAAATCATTCGTCGTTGCGATATGTTACCTAGTACTTGTGTTGCGAGACCGCCCCTTCTACATGTACCCTGGGGATCATTGACCCGCGGGAAGACACAATCAAGGCAAATTTCAACGTCACAGTCCCAGTATCAGCTGTTTTCTTAAAATCAGGGATTTTAACAAGACCTAACAATGGTTATGAATATTCCGGAAAGTTTTTAAGATCTCACTTATGCAAATTATGCTTACTATCTATTAGCAAAGTGTTTCTGAGTTTTCATCGTGTTGATTTGAGGACAACGCTACTCTGATGCAATGCCCATTGTGCTACTCTAGTGCTGTTAGCCGCAGAGAAGGATTGAGTAATACTGAATAAAATACCGGTTCGAACAAGTGCGCCGTTTATGAGGTTTTGACACATAGCTAGGAGACATGTCCAGTTGTTTGAATAAAAAAAAAATGAGAGAGAAAGAGAGGGGGGGGGTCGGACTTCGGATATACGTGTAACCCTTGCCTAAAGAATCTAAATCACTTGTGTTCAAAGTCAAGTAATCAGTATGTCTTAATCAGATTCAAGTATGGATTCTCTTCTAGCGAGGATCCAACATTGCATGAATTCTTTTCTATATTAAAACGCCATGTCCGTCAACAGCCTACCTGAAAAGATTCTACAGGATTCATAAGGTTCGTGTCCCCAATGCCTCTAAAATTAGGCATCCATATTTGGGTCCTGGCCCCCACAACCCCAATCCCCAATCTCCAAAATAATTTTTAAAAAGGAAAAGAAAAAAAATTCAGGTCACTCGGAGTTGTTTTAGTGGCGTTTTAACGAATATAAACCCCAATAAAAATGCACGTAAATATATACATAATGTGAAATGCTCTCTAGATATTGTGTACATGCTAGACTGCTAACTCTGACCTGAAATAAGCTTACCTAAGGGGGGTGTATAAAATATAGGTTCGTCTGTAACATTATAAATGTGAAGCACAATTGCTTACTATAATAATAACGCTAGAATCATTTCTGAAAATAGAAAAATTCTGATAAAAAATCAGATTGAATTGATTTTGTGAAACTACGATGCTAATTCTGCTCTCAAAAAATAAAACTTAAAGATATTGTAATTTATATATAGTGTATATAGGCAAAGAGATTACGTTAGTTCTTGGCACAGTTGAAATTTTCTTATCGTTATTAAACTCCTCCCACATACACTTCTCTTCCGAACCGCCGTCTTCCGATTAACAGAATTGTTAGCGGATTAAGGCAAGAATCATTCTGATGAGATTTTTAAAGCTTATTGGAAAATCAAAATCAAATGTATCCAAGTTTGAACAAATCACTAAACGAAACAACGGATGCATGCTCTTAATAGATGGGTTTGCAGTACATGAAATGTATATGTAGGCTACCTGGAGAGAGAGAGAGAGAGAGAGAGAGAGAGAGAATTTACTGCTATTTCTAAAACAAACATTATTCGGATAGATACCCAGATTTTTCCGGACGTGTAGCATGGCGACCCTAAGTGTTCATCATTCATGTGTAGGGAAGAATCCGTAAACAAGTTGAAGTATAAGAAGGAATGTCGATAACATTTAACTCTTTTTTGGCGTGAATTTATATGTCATCATTGTCGAATATTTGAGTAATACTGTACATACAAACTCAATGAAATTGTTAAGCAAAATTACTAGTTTAAGATTTGGTCAAAATAAAGGTCACTTTTAAAGATCTCTAATTTCCTTGTTTCAATGTGAAAATTACGGCACTGTGCACTCCTTTTTTGCTTTTTATTCCCACCACAACCACGCCACGCTCCCAACGCTTTTCCGAACGGGAACGTCATTTAATCACGCACAGAAGGTAAACTAGAAGTACAACCACGGACACGTATCATGTTCCTTAATGGGAACCCCAAAGCTTTTACATCACATTCGAATTTGCTCTGACATAACCTTTGTTTGACCTATACCTCCTCTCCACATAGGAAAACAAACGTATCGTTTTTCTTGTAACGAAAACGACTAAAAATATTAATGAAGGAACGCGTGCCGCGGCAAGTGCGCGTGGAATGACTGAAGACGCGATGGAAGCTCTAAATTTAACCGCCAACCAGGAGGTGCGAAAAGTTCACTGACAGGAGGGCCGTAGCGTTGAGGTGCGTTCATCCGGGTATTTTTGTTTACAAACAAGCTAGGTTCTTGGATCGTTGCTCTCTTATTAACGCATCAAAGTCAACGGTGAATAGGATTGGTGTACTTTTGTGTGCTCTGCGAAGGGGCATGACACTGCATAGGGTGTCACTCGCTCCAGTTAACTTACAGAAATACCCGTACCAAGCAAAGTGTCATTTATCTTCTTTACTAGACAAGTAAAAAATATCTGATATTGGCAGCTGACACGACGTAACCGGATACCTTGGATCAAAACCATGATGAATGTGCTTGTGTCATCCTAAACACCTTAACCGGAGTATATTTGTTCACTACCGCTCTAGTAATATCAGTGCTAATTATAGTTATAAACAATTGTTGTTGACCATTTAGGATTATACTGTACCTTTGTACATGTGCGGCGCTGTATAGGGACTTGGACGATTTTGATATGGAACCAGTGTGTAATTTCCAAACAATCGCAAGAACAGGTAGGTTTTGGGTACAAAGAACGTTCACAAGGTGTCGCTGTAGTGATATAAACATGTACATTTCAACCTAGAACATACAAACATGTGCTGTGCATGCAGGCCTTTATGTAGAAAATAAAAAAAGACGTTCACAAAGATAATTGCGTCAAGGGAAGAATGTATTATTGTACAATACAAATTTGAGCTACAAAATCATTACATTACATTGCGTTAAGCACATAAATCCCATAAAAATCATAAAAGCACTCACGCAGACCTCAACCAAGGAAGCGTAATTCATTATATTATTAATTAGCTAATTAATTGATGGATCACCAACAAAATCAAATCAATTCTTAGATAGCTAATTTCCGACCTATTCTGAAGTTCTATCAAAATATGTCTATCACCTTTTCAGTAAGGTTGTCATTAAGTAACATAACAACAAATGCAAATACATAATATCCTTGTTGAAGGTAATAGACCAATAACTGTACACGTACATTTTTGTGAACCATTACATCACATTAAACAATGCCATTAAGTCATTAATCCACGTATGGTGACAAAATGGAACTTCAGAGTAGTAATAGCTGCACCTTATGCAAAAAGCGTTTATTTAATCGTCCCACATAGTAATAAGCTAATCTATAGATGTCCGCAAGATATCTTTATCGCTTTGAACAGATAAGACAGTGAGTTTACGTACATGTACGCTATACGCAAAGTGTACTAGATACCCCTTCTTTTTTTGTTGTGTTTCTTTTGTTTTTTTTTTGTTTACGTGTGAGATTATTCACTTTGAAGCTGAGCAAGTATTATGCCAGAACACGCAGGTTGTCAGCGAGATGTGTTCAAGGCATGTATCGCGAGATGGAGGCAGTGTATTATTTTACACACACGCCGTGATAAAAATAGTCGCATTTTACCGGAAAGCACCCCTAAAACCGAATAACATACAACGCCACTGTCACATTAAGTCCCTAGGCATGTATTTGGACACACTTCTGTGGGTGCTATAACCCCAAGGAGATAACCCAGTCCCAGTGGAGACGATTTATTGTTGATTTTATCATTTAATGTACGGAGAACTGTTTGATTGAGATTTATCACCAAACGCGACAGCTTAAGGACTAACTGCAGGCGTAGCGTTCCGCTCTCTGGTGTTCGGTGACACTCAAAAACTCAAAAAAATAATTCCCATTCAGCCAAAAGTTAGACTTAAATTTGAGATTGAGTTTTGAAGTGAACTTTATGAATCATGGGTAGTTCACGTTAATGAGGATGTTGGACCTGCCATGTTTTAGACAGACACGTATATATTTTAACGGGATGATTCAGATTTATCGCAGCTGTGGCCTTGATGTAAATGTTGTACAAGCTTGAAGAGCAGTCTAGAATAACGAAGGGACTGCAGTGTCTCGGCCATTTGTACGAGAGATGAGTGCTCGCCAGTTAAATGGAGACGGCGATATCAAAGTGTTTTACGAGAAAACATTTTTGGATGTTTTCACACGCCCCAATGATTCAGATTAATTTTTACGAACATGCTTTTTAAAAGAGATATTCCTTAAGCATGCTTATCAGGAAAAGGGTACAACTTCAAGCCAGTATACATTGCAACGGTTGCTGTGCATTTCAATCATGATCTTTTTACTCCCGTTCGATTTTCAGCAATTAATTTTTTCATTTGGAAATAGACCATTAGTTGTTGTTGTTGTTCTTCTTCTTCCTCTTTTTCTTCCTATTATTATTATTATTTCAACAACAAAAAAGGGAATCGGTCATAAAGTTAGGGAAATATTTGACCTTAACTCTTCTTTTTTAAGCCAGTCATATTCGTGTACTCTGTATATCCATTGAACTATGAATCCCCCTTTTTCTTTCAGATGACGGACAGATATATTGTAACAGTACATGGAACACTTTGAGTTGTTGGCCCACTACGCTGGCAGGAACGCTAGCCGTGATACAATGCCCACCAAAACTAGGCGACTATCCCCTGGACGCCACGAGTAAGACCTTGATGATTTAAAATAATTTCATATAAAAGTTTTTCGTAAAAATATTCTCCACTTTTAATATCTTTTATTCTATTAAAGTTGCTGCATGAATTTTTAACCCTATTTATTTCAGTGTTTTATTTGGTAAATTGTTTGATTACTCATCTATCAGTATAATGATTTTCTCGAAAAATCAATTTAGAACAAGATTTTGATTATACAATTACTATAGACGTTTTAACTTGTGAAACATAATAAATCAAATTAATATCATATTTAACAAGTGTTTGAAAAATACAGACAATTGAAATTTTTTCCTGTGGCATACATTGCAATTCGATTAATGTGACATGCAATTCGAGCATAAAACGGTTCAATTATTGCTGTGGACGAATTGCTTGAAAAAGGCAATATGAATGATTTAATTTCAAAAATTCACTTTTGCTCCGTTAACAAAACGGAATGAATAAGACAGAAGATAGTACATCTTTGTTTTGAAAATGGTATCAGTATTTTCGGGCAGGGTGGGATATAGTTAGCTTTGATGGCCACATTAATTAGAATGTTCTAATCATGACCAACATAATCTAACTGATAAAGATTCTTGTCTGCATTTTAAGCTCGGACACGCAAAAAAAAAAAAAAAAAAAAAAAAAAAAAAAAATGTTTATCTTTAAGACACCAGCAGATTCATACCAATTGTCGTTTCAGAGAACGCCACGCGGTACTGTCACGTGAACGGTACGTGGGCGGAGAAGGCAGAGTACGCTGCCTGCGTACCAGAGCTTCCCACTCCGGACCCGGAGGTAAGACAAACCTTAAAGCGTTATTCAGCACCTATCATATTTTTCACAAGATATTCACAGATGTCTTTAGATAAATAGACGGCCATTTGGTTCTCTGTTACCCTGTAATGAAATCTCAATAATGATTCATGGCTGGTAATTGTTTGCATAACTGCTCAGGCACTGCCTCTTAACAGGCCCAAGCCAAGTCCCCTTGACAGCCATCAATACAATAATTTTTTTATTATTTTAATCACTTGCTCTTTTTGTGACAGATAAAAATAGCCCCTTCTGAATAGCTTTTTACAAAAATTTGAAGTTAACTGAGGAATCTCCTATAGAAACTCCCTACAGAGCGCGTACAATGCCATCTGCGCAGTTGCAGATCCTGCTTCCATCTGGCGAAAAGTTACAGGGTGGAAATGTAATAAATGTGCCTATAATATCTGCTACCGTGGTAGAGGGTACCTAACATACGTGGGTTTAACAGTCATGTTCATTAACCCACTGAACCTATATAAATATGTATATGACTCTGAGAGAGAACTTGAACTAAAAGTGACTTGTGATCAGTGAGGATTGGCGCCAAAGAAATGGCTTCTGTGCCATGGATTATTTAGCGAATAATATGTTTGGCGTTCATAAGATTTCCCCTCAACTGCTAGTGTTTTTAGAACATCAGCTACGTAGTCTGCCATCGAATGTAGATTTAATTATAGTACAAAAATAAAAACCCAAAATTAAATAATGTTGCTCTGTGATAAATAAAAAAAGACCCAGCGATATCCTTTTGTGACCCATAACTGAACTCAATCTCTTTCTCTCTCTCTCTCTCTCTCTCCTACACATACAAACTATTTCATTTGCGCATTGAAGTTCTGACCCAAGACTAATTGAAACAGAAAATAGAGTATCGTTTACCCTAACAGAAATATCTCGAGAGAACCTTTTCAGATGAGCTCTATGTGATAAGCTCTATAGATTAAAAGAGCGTGTGGTTAAGATCCATCAGGTGTAACCTTGAAGGTGACAAGCCATTTAATCAGTGCTAAAGGGATTTATAGGTTTCGAACAGGGCTAGATATTCCTATGTTCAAATGCCGTATTAAACCGGTCAATGTATCGATAACGTCATTAGAATTTAGGTAATCAGTTTGGGGGGAATTCATTCATGAATCGCCTCTTTTCTCCTTTCTTAAACATTAAAAAAATGATGACCAAAATATCATCTACGCTTGAATTTGGGATGAGTTTTAATGCATATGGGCATATGTTAAATATGGTGGCATTATTCTAAAAATGAGACTTTACACGAAAGAGCTGAAAACTGAAGACTTTTGTAATGAGATCGGGGTGTTTGTAGGTAATGATGCGGAACATTGCCTATGATAAAATTTTTCAATAGAATGACAGTTGCAAAATGCGTTTGGTTGCAAAACGCGACTCTAGAAATGCCCTCGGGACGTAACCTGAAATGAAATTTACCAACCAAAACCAACTCTCCCTCTCTCTCTCTCAAAATCAGTTCAACGCGCGACCAACGAAAATGTGCACAGGTGAACGACCTGAACCTATGAATTTTGTCAAGACGACATTTGTTACTTTAACCTTTGAGATAAGTAGGAGGGAAGTCGAGATAAATAGTGAACAGATTTACGGTGTAAATAACTTAGGGCGGAACCAACACTTGGTTCTGATTTTAAGCTATCTCAAAGTCCGTTGCGATAACGAAGTGTTATCAAGTAAAAAGCTCGCTTGCAAAAATATAGTGTATGGAATATTGCACCCAAAGCATTGTGCAGTTTTATTTTTATGATATAAGAAACTACAGACCATTGACGCTTTCTGAACTGAGAAAAAACACACGTAAGAAATGTTCAGAACATATAATCAATAAATGAATTCTAATTTTTTACCTTTAATATAAAAAAGCAAAATGTATCGACCAATATAAACAAGTTAGTCTAAGTCTCCTTCACTGCTGAGGTTGGCTCGTTCAACAAAAACTTCTCGTCTTATTTTTAAAACAGACTAGCTACGGCATTCTTGCTTATATTTTCCACGTAACAATATTTTCATTTATAGATCAATGCCATTTATTTCTGATAATCCCGAATCATTTCAGTTCTCGTTTTAAACAGATTTTCTTGAAGTATCTATTTCCGGGTTATAAATCTATTCAATTATAGACTCACTATTTTTGCCAACATTCATTCTGTAATATAATGAGGCAATGGCCTCGGGTGACTCTCTACACTTTACAGCTTTAAGATTAAGTTAACTTGAAAATAAAAATGTAGCCTTTCCGGTCAAGGGTGACAGCTCTAATAGAAATCTGACAGCTCATAGTGCGAATGAAATTTTCCGTGCAGCAAAATTAAATGCAAAGGACGAAATTGAGATGTTCCGTGCGTTTCAGAATGTGAACGCCATCCACCTGCCGCGTGTGGTAGTTGTAGACCTAGGCCGCCACAGCGCCCCCTATGGTGACGCGCTTTGTTGGAAAGATCATCTGCCTTTTGTCTGACTAAGGGCGGGAGGCGTCCAAGGAACGGCGTTTGTTTTTCATTCAGACAGTTTCTCAAGAAACTAATGGTTTTGACAGACGACGCATGTATCAAATTATAAAACACTTATTGAAATAATAAAACGAACGTTGTGGCCGCTGCAGGCGACATTAATGTCGAAGGCAGACTTTGCGGGTGTGCTAGAATTACTTGGAAATTTTATGAAAGACGGACAGATTATCTGCTCGCGTATATCATTTAAGTCGTTAATTTTGCGCCAATATATAAAACCTCACTACCGTAAGCCAGATAGATTGGACATCATCTTAATGACGTTCTAATAGCTTTTCTTTACAATTTCACATGTACACCACGAGATTTGTATCAGCTGTCTATCGATTTATTTGTGCGACTTTTATTATTTCATAGGTCAGAAATTTTTATGGTCAAAATATTTTTTAAAATCTTTTTGTATGGTCAAATAAAGCACAAGTAAACACAAACACATCTGTAAAAGGATACTCGTAATCACTATGCGCAATGTATCGTATCGCTGTGTATCGCTGGAATGCACTTTCAAACAGCACAGAGGGGAGGGACGAATCCTTTGACATTTCTCATTTTAACATTGGTTAAAGTTGTGTTTTAAGCCGGGTGACAACTAACTACCCAGCGGGCAAATTATGTTGTTTTAACGTTGAAACAACGTTGAACCATAACGTTGAGAAGACATTGAATAAACGTTGGATTTGAAAGTTGTGTCAACCTCAGATAACAACGTTGTATCAACGTCAGAAAACAATGTTATATCAACCCCACCCAGCGGGAAATTAGCCTGGATGTGTTTAGCAGTAGGACATGTTTGGTGGCTAAAAATATGTAGGGTATAAATGTATGGCCTTTAAGTTAAAATTTCCAAGGTTTAGATTGATATATATAGTTCTATCTATAACAGGTTACCAAGAACTGTTAACTCCATCACATTTACAGCAACTTATTCATCCTAGTGTTAGCTGACCTTGCAAGGAATTCAGCATATTGGAATGTATTTCTGAATCACAAGTTAAGAAAATTCACTAGTTATCTAAAGACACAAAACAACTGTCACTTTTACTTTAAAACCATTTTGTTATTATTTTGATAAATTTAGTTACAGTATTGATAAACAAAGTATCACGTTTTCAATAATTAATATTTTAAATTACAATCCATAACTGCAAGGTTGTGTCATTGACCAAAATACAACGTTGAGTCAACGTCACATTATGACGGTGTTTCAACGTGGCTGGATCAACGTTGATTTTACGTTGAATTTAGGTAGATCAACGGCAATTCAACGTATCAACCTGTTTTCAACGTTGATCCAACGCAACTATGCCTGCTGGGTATATTGACCACCAACTTCTTGGTGCCAGCAAGACTGCAAAATCAGTAGAACTTACACTTTAATACCTTTGGTCCAGATTTAACTAAATGTGTATAATGCTAACTGCTAAATGTTATTGCCGACCCCATAGTGTGGACAATATAAGCGCCCGTGTTGCATGGGTCACATGAGGAAAGGAGCAGATCGAGGACAGATTATCAATGAAATGACACAGCATTGGTTTAAGGTCATGTTATATATAGTAACCACTGAGGTATCAGTTTACAAATATACGGCCTTGTATTGAGTTTTGTTCCCTTCAAGATGCCATACAGTGTCTTGGTAACGCTTGTTTGTAGGTCTCAAATAATAGCAGTTGATAAATTTTGCCTCGGTGATACGAAAAGATTTTGAATTGAAGTTATATATGTCACAATATTATGTCATAAAGCATTTTAGTAAATAAAATGACTCCCCCCCCCAAAAAAAAAAAAAAATGAATCCTACAGTCTGTCAATGTCAAGATGTGCGATGGAAACTAGCTTTATAGCTTTATGACTGAAAAAAAAAAAAAACTGTCACTCAAAAGTGAGCCGAAAACAAGTTTTGCGTGAGGAAATAGGAGAGAAGCACTCATGAAATTCAACTAGCACGTCATGCATTCCAAGAATTGATAGAAAAGTCATTGTAAATTGATTATCAGACACAACATTACTTTGGGATATTCTACATATAAACAATAACACTTCTAGTGATACACAGATATACGTGTTAATACAGCTTGTGCTTTACGCACGACATTTATTATATTCTCCCCCATGGGAATTTAGCCACTATAAAAAATAAGAAAATATAATAATAAAGAAACGGCATTCGTGTTTGTCATTTTTATCATACATAACATTTTCCTATTTCAGGACATAGAGCATAACTTCCCTGTCCGGCTTGTCTACTACTCTGGGTATGGTCTGTCCAGCCTGGCACTCCTAGTGGCCCTCACCATATTCGTCTACTTCAGGTAATGCTGTGCTGCAGGTCTTACGCCGCTGATATCTTAAATGTGTATATTAACTGAGACTTGTCATAAAAATAACACCGGAAAGGTACAATGGCTTAAGACATGAGCACCAGTGGTTTTCAAGCACGATTTGTCGAAAGTGTAATAAGACTTTAGGTATCGACTAAAATAAAGGTGCTAAAAAGCATTGTTCTTAGTTCAATTATCTAAAAGCCGCGAATTTTTACTGTCATTTTCATGTGCAATGGGGCACTACATCAAAAACCTTTTTATTTTAAAATCTAGTCGCTCCAATATAGAAAATAAACTGCTCTATGATGAAGTTTCAGTTCTCTGTAATCGTACTTGTAGGAGTTTAAGATGCTTACGAAATACAATCCACTGTCATCTCATGGTGTCCTTCCTGGTGCGGAATATTAGTTGGATGCTAGTCATGAACCTTTTGCTGCCTAAGATCCACCTGGAAGAGGAGACACAGGTAATACCCCCCCCCCCCCCCTCTCTCTCCCATCTCTTTCTCTCTCTCTCCTTCTCTCTCTGCATTATCCAAACATTTAAACAGTACTTGCACTAACAACTGTGTTCCATCATGGTGGTATTAAGAAAGCGAGATTGTGTTATGTGTGACAAGAAGTTCAATTGTGCTGGATGTGCTGCAGCAAGGCACACAAACACATTTCAAAGTGACATCGTCTCTTTTCTCTTCCAGTGGCTGTGCAAGGCCATACTGGTGGTCTGGCATTATGTGCATTCCACGAATTACTTCTGGATGTTTGTAGAGGGTTTGTACCTCCATCTTATGGTGGTGTGGGCCTTCTCTGCCGACAAGGTCAAGCTGTGGGTTTACCTGCTTATTGGTTGGGGTAAGCAGACTGTTCTTAAATGTGCTTTCAAAAGCACGAGTGGCAAATATCTTCGCGTGGGCACAAAGAGAGGCTCTGAGCTTGTTTGAAACAGACAATAGACTAGATTTTACAAGGTACATGTATTAGACACGTGGCAAACTCCAACCACGTTGGAAGCTTGTGATTGTATTTTCCACAGTTGAAGTGATAAAGGATATAATTTTAGCCATTGTTTTTTTTTTTTAACAAAATAAGGCACTGTACTGCTTTCATGAACACAGAAAGAAAAAAAAAAAAACGCCTGCGCGGCATGTTATTTTCTTCTCTCAAACCATTGCTCCATCATTGGACTCGGTTTCGATGTTTTATTTGTGGAGTACGTTCTTTATGAATCATGATTGATTTATACTGCCATGTTGTCCTCACATGTTATTTATCGTTTTGAATGTCGGAATTGGAACATGCTGGTGCACACCTGTTGGAAACAATGCGTGGAATCTGTACACAAATACAAAGTGTGTGGTTTTTTGGGACATTATATATCAACCTGAATAATGTGACGTTATTGATGGAATTAAGAATAAATGCAAATCCATTGTTCGTTTGCAATGTCATAATTCTTGAAATTGAAACATTTTTGTCGACCCCCCCCCCCTTGTTTTAGGGTACTACTTTATGGTCACAACTCGGAATTTCAGTTGTTTACACCTACACAAGATTTCCGACAGCTTTTGTTATTTTCGATAAATTTTATCTTTGGCATAGTACCGGTATTTTATTTGTAATAGAATGAAATAGGAGGTGCTATTAAACTGAACCTTCTCATCAGTATAGATAGTAGTATACCTCCTAAGAATTTCTCTCTAAAATCGAACCTTTTAGTAGATGCTATTATTTATATGCCACTTCAAGCTTTAACTACAGTGTGTAAAGTGCAGCCACATAGCTGGTTATCATACTGTGGTCTCACAGACAGTATAAGTAAAACAGTTGTCGTAAATGCAAACAGGCCTGGCGAAACTGTAATGAGACTGATGGTCCGTGTTACAGAAAGGGGGGACTCTCTGTCACGTTTCCCCGGTGCTTTCACATCTTAACATCTCTGTCAATGGTGAACGTGGAAGAACGTGATGTACAGAACAGAAATGAACACATAATATCAAACATCATTACAACAATCAGTATACAGCAGGTCTGCGTTATAGTGTATGTTTAAATATACATGCATGTATTAAAAGAGACTGTGCTTGGCACTTATTTTTACTTGTTATTACAGTGAAACTCTGATTTTCTACAGGATAAGTTTTATTTTGCAGGAGCCCCTGCACCTACGTCCATCGCATGGGCTTTAACAAAACACCATTTACAAAGTGACGAGTGAGTATATTTAATATTTAGTATCAGTAATAGTTTCCCTCCATCTTTGCTAAAATCATAAATATACCCCCCCCCCAAAAAAAATTCTTACATAACTTATATTTACATGTACAGTGTATATATATATATATATATATATATACTCAGTCTTCAGTATTTATTATTCGTACTTGGAGTAATAATAATAGTACAAATGCCAATAAAATGAAATTTTCAACTTAAAATTATCTCTACTGTCTTTTTAAGAACCAAATTATTACAGCAAACGTGTCTCAGAGACTCCTTTGACTTCATGTGAGTTAAATTGAGTAAACGATGGATTTTTTTTTTCGTTGACAGGAACTGCTGGGGTGCAGAGAATTATAACAGTCAACCCGAAGATTATATTGTGACGGGACCCATATTATTCGTCTTAGGGGTAAGTAAAGAGTACCATTGGCACTACAATCCAGATCATTGTTTTCACTCTATATTCTCTGTAATATGATATTACAAGAATTTTATGAATGATTGCAATTGGTTAAGAAAATGACATACGGAAAGCGTGAAGATACACTGATACATATACTGATGGTGGGTCATATAATCATAAGAGTTTCTGAATGGCCAAACTAAACCAAGATATTATGAGAAAATCTGTAATGCACATTCCGTTTCAATTCACGAAAAAGAAATAATTAGTGAATTTTGTTGTGTGCAGATAAGGACTAAATGTAAAACCTTTCATCAGTTTTAATTGAAATCTAGATTTATTAAGCGGTTTGCTGTAGCTTCATCCCGCCACTAGCCCAAATGTTTGTCATTGTATAGAACATGTGTTTGGAGGATTTCTATGCCATTATACACGGCCCATACCAATAAAATGGTACCTGTCAAATTCTTCCTTATTCTTACAAATAGGTCAATCTCATATTCCTGGGAACAATAGTGTGGGTGCTGATAACCAAGCTACGGGCGTCAAACAGCTTAGAAACCAGGCATTCCAGGAAGGCCGTCAAGGCCACTCTGATTTTAATGCCGCTAGTCGGCGCCACGTATATGCTGTTCCTGTACCCACCGAGCAATGATCCTATCACAACCAAAGTGTTTAGGTATACCAATGCCTTCTTGCAGTCCACACAGGGATTCTTCGTTGCCTTGTTTTACTGTTTCTTTAACGGGGAGGTAGGGGCATTTTCAGTTTCATAAGTTAATGGATGCCTTATATTAATCATGTATTGCTGTTATTATAGCCACAGTTAGGCATCACGCGTTACCACTATCAGGCATAATACGCTTTAGAGCTATTGCTGTTTTAATACTTCTCTCTTTCTCTGTTCAGTATTAACAAAAAAGGGGGAAAACAAATTTCATAATTCATAAACATTATATGCAATGTTAAGAATGGTGATCTAATTATTACATATGCACCGTGGTCATGTCCAACTCGAAATACATCAGGACCAATCCACTTTTTCGTCTTTCTTTAACTTATGTAGTCTACAGCTGGTCCCTTTTGTTTCATATTAGGTTCAGAATGCTTTGAAACGAAAGTTCTCAAGATGGCAAGACGACAGAAATATAATCAACTCTACGCGGTGGACACGAACATCAATGGACAAAGGCGAAGCAAGGACGAGTCTCTGTGTGAACAACGACCAGCTGCTGCCTCTAAATGAAAAACGAAAGCAAACTGAACTGAGACACAGCACAGCCCCAGATCGAGACCGCAATGGAAACAAAGCGAATGGTCACGTGACCGTTACCGTGGAAATGGATATCGAAAGCTCCAAACCTTTGATTGGTGGTTCTGAGACTGTCGCTAATCTTTGAGCTACTACCTGATATTGTGTAACGCTGGTTCTGCAGAACAAAACGTTGATCGGTTCACTAGGTACAGACGGTAACAGACATTAGATCTACCGCCAAGTACAAATTACTGATTCTGCACCAAATGGTAGAGGACAAGCCTGTGAGTTGGCGGGAAAATGGTCATCAAGAAGTAACTGCTACAAATATTTGATTCGCCGCCAGAAATTTTGCTACATTATTCAAAATGATGTACAATAAGAAACGCTACTGACTGTGGTTTAGTCTTCGGGTGTGTGCAGCTGCACATAATCGAAATGCGCGGTTCAGTACAAAAACACGCCTATTACACAAGTCTCAGGATGTTTACATGGTTGCCACTATTTCAATACTCGGAGTGCATGGTTCTGTTGTTTAACATGTTATGAACAGATACAACGACGGGACTAAAGGCAAAAATAGCGTATATTAGGCTACGCAAAAACGCTAAGCTTTGACAACCTGTTGTTTTTACGAATTTAAGGTACATATAGTACATTTCAAGGCTACTTAATGTTTTTGAAAATCAGTTTTTCTTGATGTGAAAAGTACGTTTTGTTATACGCTGGAATTCGAAAATGTGCAGACTGGACCATATAGTACCGGAGTTAGTGTTGTGAGTTTTGCTTTAAATGGTTATGATATCCTATTGACAGACAAGAAAAGAAAAGTGAAACTTTGCCTTTTTGTTTTATCCACCAACGTTGCCGTTGACCGAAGAGATTTGATTACAGACAGAAAAGTCAATATCATTAGCAAAGTTATTTACTCTGTAACAAGCTTACAACTCTCTCTTAATTGAAAAAAAATATCTAGAACATGGACGACCGTGATGGCCACAAGGCACGTATAGAAGCCATATTGCTTTACATAATTTTTAATATTTTTTCCCACTATGTTCAACAGAGATGTTTATTTAAACATTTGAGGTATTGTCTAGGATCACAATCAACTCCGTTTCCTAGAACAAATTTGATTCAGCAAGTGGACCTGTTCCCAAAGAACTGTAAGAAATTAAAGATTTTGGAATCGGACAAATAATAGTCCAGTGTCATACGTATTATTAAGGAGAGCGTCAGTTTGTAAATACCGGGGGATAGTGGCCGAATGTAGCCGAGATGTAATGTTAAATGTTCTTGTAGTAAAATAAAATCTGTTCGTTATTTATAACACACTTCAAAGCATGCCAACCATTATGTTTCGTATTTGACTCACCTAGTACTGCAAAGCTATTGGAATGCCTTCTTTGTTAAATCATAATGCCACATGATTCTGTTTTTAAAACAGACCATTTCAACGCAAAATATTTACATCAGTATATTTTGAGTATATTGTTAAATCAAAAGCTTAAAAGAAATTAATTAACATCCATTTAAAGTTCGCGTTTAAGGTGGGACAAAACCTTGCTCTGAGCAAAATCATGATTTTCGGATTTTTTTCTCGTCGTTTTCATTCACATATTTATCTTATATCTGCAATAAAAGTATCTTCTCCATCTGGTTTGAAATATTGCTATTTTTTCATAAAGGGATAAATGGTAATATCGCGGTATTTTATATCGGTTGTGTTTTGTTTATCTCTTGAAATGAAATGAAGGGAAAGTGTTTAGATTTAGTAAATCAGAAGAAGAGATCTGTAATTACTGTACAAATGGTAATGGTGTTAAAAGAATCAGAATAACTGACAGTATTGGTTCTGCACTGAACATTAAATGGCCGATTTGTCACAGTTTGAATTTGGTGAAATATCTTTATTTGTTTTCACTCCATCGTTTGAGGGTGAAACTGGATGTCACTTGAAACTTATCAATAAATCTATAAGCCACGAAGTACTTAGCAGTGTCATCTGACATTTGAAATCAATCTAGAACATAAATCATAAATCCTAGGTGATCAGTTAGTAGTTACTTGTTAGTCTAATATGTAAATTTACATCCAAATCGCACACATTTTGGAGCTGCATCTTTAGGTTTGTTAACATAAATTCGTTCCTGAGGGAGGTCTTACTGGCTTATTTTTCAGGCAAAACCTTGTTTTGCACAACCAAGCCATACTTACATGATCATATTGAAATATATATGCCATACTGGTAAGAGCGTATTTAAAACAGACTAAAGGTGTTCCTTAATTAATACCGTATTAATTTGTAATGCCTACTGCAAGCGACTGCCAAAAGCAATTTAAAGCACATCAATATTAATATATAACTTTAACTTTGACGATTGCTGCATGCTGACAGGGTTGTTCTTATAATGGCACTGAAAAGGATCTTCAAGGTACTGGTTTTACTGGTCACTATGTGTTCTGCAATACTGTTGTATTTGCATTGGATGGGTACCGCTCCAGGTAATTATACTTTGACTTCTTTAAAAATGATAACATAAAACTTGATTTCTGCTCGACTAAAAATGTCAAGCAAACAATTGTCAAAGGGACACTGCATAACATGTGAGATAGAAATTCTAGCTATTACAAAATATTTGATTAAATTTCGTTTAAAACCAAAGGATCAGAGAGACGGCACGGCCTTCGGGTATTGTACCACCAGTTGGAGAAAGCTCATTCGTATGGAAAAAAAAAAGGGGACACGATCTCCAGTGCTGTGCTTGACAAGCTATACAAAATGCAGTAAACAAAAGTTCCCAATTTTTTTTAGTAAATTACCATTCATAAGAAAATCGTGGGGAAAAGTAAAAGATCAAATCCAAGATTGCAGTAAGATTGTGAATATAGGAATTCCCGAATTCATTAGTAACTATGAGAGCTTGGAAATTTGCAAAGTGTGGTTCATGGTGAAAAAGTAGGTCAAAGGTCGATTTCAAGGTCACAGTGAGATTGCCAGTATCTGACTTCCTTTTCAAGTTCATTAGTATGGGCGTATCCCTGCTAATTTTGGAGTATTTCACATTTTATTTTCACCAGTGAATATTGCGATGTTGCATTTTTGACATAGCGCAGCTCGTTAACCGCATGGAAAACGAACATAATAATAATAATAATAATAATAATAATAATAATAATAATAATAATGTTTATTTGCAAATAAAACAGTTGGATTGTACAGTAATATAAATTGTCAAACTCACTAAATGAGGATAAAGTTAATAAAACTTATTTAAAGGTCTTGAGGTGAAATAAAATATTCGGTCCTCTGAGGATATTTAAAAAAAATGCACTAAGATTCATTTGAAAACACACAAAGAACTATAACAGGACATAATTTAGTGGCACGGTATGATTGCTTCTGAAGATTTAATGGTTCTCAGTGCCGTTGAAGGGAAGAAACAGGAGGAAGCCCATGCAAAACGTATGAAACACCACTCACAGCCTAGTCAGCAGTAACTATGCCGACGTTTCACACACACGAACACACCCACACAATATATATATATATATATATATATATATATTAAAAGTTAAAACGTTTTTCCTGTACGAGTAATATAATATATTGTATATATATTGTAATGCGTTTTGAAAACGAAGCCGCGCTGCATAGTTATACAGACTTGTAAAAGAAACGAACAAATAATAACACACATTTTCACATTATAAGTACAATAGTGGCAAACAAGCTACGGCCGACATACACCACCTAAAAGGCAGGCGTGAATTTACGACCAAGTTAAGACTAGTGAAAATACTACTCCAGTTTGGTGCAACTGGTTTTTCTCCGACGTATCGTTTTGCGCTGAAGTTACTCGGGCGCAACTGCTATGCCTCAGTTACCGGTGCTACCGGTGCCACCGGGCCCTCAAGCTCGACAGTTAAAAGTTATCTCAAGGCTAATATTGCAGCGGAGACTTTTTGAATGAAGACAGTACTCCTGCGAAAATCTGTTCCATTTGACGTTCACTTACAGTTCCCTATCTAATTTAGAACATTTGGTGTATTTTTTTACAGCTATTATGTTTTTCCGTAATGAATGTAACAGTTGGAGAACTGTTTTTGCTAAGTCCTTCAGAATGTCCTAGAACAGATTAAGAACATTTTTCATTAAAAACATTATGTTCTCGGACAGATTGAGAACCGTAAGTGAGCGTTAAATGAGACAGGAGGGAATTTGAGTGTAGGGGCATTTCACGCTCTTGGGAACAGGCAATAAAATACTTATATATTCCCAACACGTCTATGGTTTATAAAATACCTAAACGTTTTAAAATTAATTTAAACACTATTAAGTTTGCTAAAAATAAAATTAAAGACATTTTTCGGTAGTCTCATCAATCGTGTCGCCTTAAAGAGAACGAATATATGAGAATGAATCAGTCGTACCGCACATGAGAATGAAGTATGCATGATGTACTGGTATTTCACCTCCATCTGTGGATGTTTACCCCACAAAAATGCATAAATATATAGTGAATGCGAAGGTTAGTTTTTTTCATACTGCATTCATAAACTCCTCGCAAAATAAAATGTAACCCTTTGTCTGGATCGACCCGAATTCAAAAGGCAATCCTGGCGAGTAAAGGAAGTAATTATAAGTAATTTAGGTTTGGCGGGCAAACTTGCAGCACTGAATCGTTTAAGAGATTGTAATGACAGATAAAATATGTATAAAAGCTACCCTCTACCTGGAAAGCAGGTATTATAGGCAAATTTTCAAAAAGCCAGAGAATCAAATGACTGACTATTTATCTAAAGACATATCTGTGAATTTCTTGTGAAAAATCAATCTGTCGATCGCCCTATCAGAGGGTATATAAAAGCCACTTCTTGTAATGACTCCGCGTCACTTGTTTAATAAAGCAGAGATACGTTAATTTAGCTTTGTGGTTGACTTGGATTCTGTCGCACACACTTACGTGAAGTTTTAGATCAACGTATCTGGGATTGATCGTGGGAGTGAAAGGTTTACTTGTGTAAGTGAGCATCCATCGGTTAGAGAAGCAGTCATCCATGGTGATATTAGATACTTAATATTACAATGGCATGGAAAAAGTTCTGTCGTGCTACTGGTAATAACATAGTGCTCTGCAATATTGTTCTTGCTGTATTGGAAGGGTAAGCATATTGTTTAAATCTTTGTACCTGCTTGATATCAATAACACAAGTATTGATTATGTCTAGTTCAAAACAACTATTGGTAAAATTTGGAGAAATATTATAAGGCATGTTTTAAACAATCGTTGATTAATGAAAGGTGCATGGAATTGGAGATGAAAATACACAGAACGCAACGCAAAGTATATACATCAGTATATTTTGAGTATACTGGTAAATCAAAAGCTTAAAAGTAATTAATTAACATCCATTTAAAGTCCGCGTTTAAGGTGGGACAAAACCTTGCTCTCAGCAAAATCATGATTTTTGGATTTTTTTCTCGTCGTTTTCATTCACATATTTATCTTATATCTGCAATTAAAATATCTTCTCCATCTCGTTTGAAATATTGCTATTTTTCATAAAGTTAAAGGAATAAATGATTATACGCGGTATTTTATATCGGTTGTGTTTTGTTTATCTCTTTAAATGACATGACGGAAATTTGTTTAGATTTAGTAAATCTGAAGAAGAGATCTTTAGTTACTGTACAAATGGGAATAGTGTTTAAAGAAGCAGAATAATAGCCAGTCTTGCTTCTGCACCGAACGTTACATGGCTGATCATGATTTCTCACAATTTGCATTTGGGAAGTTGTTTTTGTTTTCTGGTGTATTCACTCCACCGTTTGAGGTTGAAACTGAGAGTAATTTGAGACCAATCAATAAATCAATATGCCACGAAGTACTTAGTAGTGTCATTTGACATTTGCATTCAATCTAGAACATAAATCATAACTCCTAGATGATAGTAAATAATGTAGGCCTATAATTACTTGCAGAAACCCCATATTGCGTAAAATTATATCCACACCGCACAGGAGCTTCAGCTTTAGATCTGATAACGTAAACTCGTTCCTGAGTGTGGAATTACTGTGTAATATTTCGGGTCAAACCTTGTTGTTTCGTGATGCACAACCAAGCCACAATTGCATGATCATACTGAAATATGTATGCCGTACTGGTATGAGCGTATTTAAACGCGTTTCATCATACTACGTTAATTTTAATGCTTATTGCAAGTGATTGCAAACAACAACTTAAAATACAGACAAATTACATAATTTTAACTTTAACGACTCTTGTCTGGTGAAAGGGTTGTTCTTATAATGGCACTGAAAAGGATCTTCAAGGTACTGGTTTTACTGGTCACTATGTGCTCTGCAATACTGTTGTATTTGCATTGGATGGGTACCGCTCCAGGTAATTATACTTTGACTTCTTGTAACAATGACATAAAATTTAGTTTCTGTTCGATTAAAACTGTCGAGCAAACAATTGTCAAAGGGACAGTGCATAACATGTGAAACAGAATTGCTTGCTATTAAGTTTTTGATGGAATCTCGTTCAAAACAACTATCGATGGAATAAAAATTATATGAAAATTATATCGTTGATTTAAGGATATAACAATATCCTTAATGGAAAATGAAATGAAAAATGAATCTGAGATAGAAAATATCAACTTGAGAGAATAAAAAATTAAAAGATTTCAAGTTTTTTGATGACCTTTTCAAAATCTCAGCCCACTTAACTCCATGGACGTAATCAAAATTACTGTATGATAATTGAAAAAGGGATTAAAGCTCTTCAATTGAAGTTCATGAAATATCAATATGAATGTATGTACAAGATTTTCCAGTTAGCCACCGCCAACCTGAGATCCGCCCTTTTCTCCGAAAGGAAGCTGCAAGTCATGGGGACGTCACACTTATCAACTTCTCCAACGTTACACATAAATACCATCTAGAACATGATGCTATAGATGCTAAAATCTGGCAGGTATTTCTCCGTACATTTCGCAACCAATTACCTCCGCCAAGGAGGTAATATTTTCCTTACTGTTAGTTAGTTTGTCTGTCCGCGGCATTATGAAAAAAGTCATGGGCGGATTTTGATGAAATTTTGAGGATAGGTAGAATGCTTAGATTTGGGGGCTTATATGACTAACCAGTGAGACACAAAGTGTGATAATTACGTCTTGACCTATTTTACAATGATGCACGTCACAGACGTTATTTGTAATCTGTGACCTGACCTCTTGCTCTTGCACTGGTTGGCCAAACTGTAAACTCTGTAAGACATTCGTTGATGACCTAGCCATTACTTAGAAAGAAAATTGACACGCTTAAAAGTGACCTGGCCGAATACATTCACCACTTCATAACATTCGTATATTTGATAATCTTTCTACGTTGCATAAACGATGTTCTTTTAAAAACTGAAAGACATTGTTCAGATTTCACAACTTCACTCTCAAAATTCTAACAACATTAGTGCCTTGATCGAGATGCGAGGCTTAGTACACATGCAGTTTCTGATTACTTAAAGTGATGACAGTTAATACAGGTGTACCTCCATAATTTGTAACAAATCCGGGGAGAATGAAAGTTGATACGTACTGGTACAATCTGGCAGGCATTTCTCTATACATTTCTCAACTTATTTTTCAATGACTTCACCCGTTTGATGAAACATTTCTATTCACTTCGTGTTTGCACATAAAAACATCAGGGTCGCCGCCATTCTTTTATTTTGCTTTGCATGTATTTTGATGGTTAATAGCGTTGAAAACGCACCATTCTTACATCTCAGTGCTACAGTAATTACGCACATTGGCAACTATAGATTTGAGACAAAAGTAAATATAATCTCAAAACTACAATTCTGTATCAAATTACATTATCACATATGCATTTCAACTATTTAAACCCCGTCAAACTGCAGAGATTTGAGCTGCGCCACTGGATCCTCTGCCTCCACGCTGATCTTTGTTGACCTCCTTTTTACCCATAACCATGTTTCTCTGTTGAGGTAACTTTTTACAATATTCTTTCAGTCATTCAGTTGGAACAAGGTGCCAGATGAATGGGTGTCAGTTATCAATAGGAGAAAAAGTATGTTACAAGACAGATGCCGCAACATAAGAAATGTTTCATACTCCCAAAATTTAAGTGCAAAATGGATTCTTGTGGATGACAAACACAAACTCATTTTGTGTTTTATGTATAAAGCCGCAAGTCGTAACTGGAAAATAGTATATAACATGCTAACTGGACATTTTTCTTCATCAAATCTAACATCCAACAAGAACAAGAAACAAACCTTTACCCGGTTAGTCAAATTCAACAACAGTGAAAGAATAATGCGCATGAAAAATTATCTGAAGGTTTTAGTTGTGCGTCACCCATTAGAACGAATTGTGTCAGTTTTCAAGGAGCAAGTGCAACACCAGCTAGGTCCAGGAGTGAGAGCTTATATCAACCAACAGTACAACAGGAATATTTCAAAAAGCAAAGACATGACATTTTGGGATTTACTTCGATACATAGCGGATAATGGAGCAGACAATATTCACTGGAATTTAGTTGACGACTTTTGCAGACCCTGTTATATCGGATACGACATCATTGTTCATCACGAAACTCTACAAACTGATGCAGCAAACCTTTTTCATCTGCTTGATGCTGAAAACTTGATAAGTCAATTCCCGCAATCCCACCGCAAGGTCGAGATCCCTAGCAACCAGACGCTAATACACAAATACTACAGCGGGATTGACCAAAGATTGGCTAGGCAAGTCTGGGATATTTACAAGGAAGACGCGAGTTATTTTGGATATAAACTAGATCTTTAGGCAGTTTATGGCTTTAAATAGCAAGGTTAGCATTTCGAAGTCTCCCACTTTCCATCTTGCTAAGTTGATTATTGGGAATAAAATACCAATCAACACACACACATTTATATAGGGATATACGTGATAAGCAAGGTGTTATATATATATATATATAGGGATATAAATTGTAAGCAAGTGTGTTTATTTCTATGGGAATTGGTGGCCATCTTGGATATTTATAATTGGCTAAGGTTGCCGAGGTAGCAACCAAGCCAAATTTGCTTCAGGACCCCATGGGGGCAGGGATCAAGAAAAAGCACTTCAAAGGAGAAAAAAACTTATAGATGTATTGGAGGCAAGGGAGTGACCACACCACTATTTGTACGGGAGGGTATAAAACGAATGTATAAACGGTGTATTGTTGAATGATCTTGTAGGAAAATAAAATCCATTCGGATAATGGTTTTTAACACACCACACTTCAAAGCATCCTGACTATTATATTTCTAGATATTCGTATTCAACATGACTTATAATGCACGACGGTGTTGGAATATTTTATCAACAACTAGATAATTCTGTTAAACCATGTGTGATATTTACATCAATGTATTGTGAAAAGAAAGTAATTAAATGTTTAACGCTCGTTTGAAATCCACTTTGATTACGGGATAATACCTTGCTCTCGCTGCAATCATGCTTTTTTATATTTTTCTCCTCTTTTGTATAATTATTCTATATCTAAATATATTGTCCCCATCTCGTTTGAAATACTGTACTTGTTTCAATGGGAAGAAAAAATATTTGATTTTATTGCGGGATTTAATAAGGGCTGTTGGAGCAATATATATTGACGTACGCGTGCAGTTGTATTTTATCCTATTTAAAAAAAATAACATGCCAAAAGATTAGTTGACCTCGTAAATTGTCAGAAGAGATACGTAAATAAATGCTGCATAAATGGGGGGAGCACAGTAATTAGCATAAACGTTCTGCGTCGAATCTTAAATGCATGGCTGAATTCTTACAATTCAAATTTTGGAAGATATCTCTATTTGGTTTCCGGTGTATGGTCTTCACCATTTGAGGTTGATAATGGAAGTTATTTAAGACCTTTCAATAAGTCCAAGTCAACAAATAATGTCATTTTGATACATTTGCCACAACCGACCAAATACGCACACCCTCAGCCCTATAATCAATGGAGCACTAAAAATAGAAATCCTAGGCGACAGTTCAAAGTGTACATTCACTTTTTGAAAACCCAGAAGTCCTTCGTGATTCGGGCTCGATTCTCTGCTACTGCGTCGACTAATGTTGTAGGAAAGTGGCGTTATTGCTAGGCCTGTTTACCGTACTCAGACCATTAGGCAACATACCTCAAAGCATTATTTTAATACAGCATAAGAAAAAAGACATTACCAAAACAATAACAAATGGTAAATTGATTCAGGCAAAAGAAAACGTAATTTTAGCTTTAGGTCACACAATGGATAGGATAATTACCGGTGGTTTTCGACATTTTATGCCAAACCTTGTTGTTTCGTGTGCACAACCAAGCCACATGTGCATGATCATATTGAAATATGTATGCCGTGCTGGTATGAGCGTACATGAAACATACAAAATGAGTTTCATCATACTACGTTAATTTTAAATGCCTATTGCAAGTGATTGAAAACAACAACAACTCAATATACAGACAGATTACTTTGACGACTCCCGCCTGCTGACTGGGTTGTTCTTATAATGACACTGGAAAGGATCTCCAAGGTACCGGTTGTACTGGTAACTATGTCCTCTGCAATACTGTTGTGCTGTTTGTATTGGATGAGCACCGCTCCAGGTAATAATATTTTGACTGCTTGTAAAAATCATGACATAAAACTTGGTTTCTGCTCGATTAAAAATGTCAAGCAAACAATTGTCAAAGAATCAGTGCATAACATGTGAGATACAAATGTAAGCTATTACAAATTTTTTCATTAAATCGCGTTTAAAACTAGAGGATCAGAGAGACGATACGGTCTTCGCGTATTGCACCACCAGCTGGACTAAGCGCATTCGTGTGGAGAACAAAAAAGCGGACACCACTTCCAGTATTGTGCTTGACAAGCTCTACAGGGTGCAGTAAACAAAAGTTCTCAATTTTATTTTAGAAAATTACACTTAATGACAAAATCGTGGGGAACAGTAAAAGATCAAATCCAAAGCTGCAGTAAGATTGTGAATACAGGACTTCCCATCCAAGTTCAATAGACCCTTTTCATCTTTTCCATATTGGAAATTGTATTTCGGGAAAGTGAGTCCTTACTATGTCAAAACATTTACAGCGATGCCTGGGTTTACGCGCTGTGTCCCACTGCTACTATAATAGTAAGCGAGATCATCACATGGAATTTTATATGTTCTCACAAACCCGTTAGAATGAAAATTATGGGTAGACAACATCGGTAGAAGGAAAGGAAAATTTAGCAGTTTTGGATCAAGAGCAGGGCACCGCGTTTGCGCCGAACATTTCAAAGGCGAGAAAAAAACCTACAATATTAGGAGATCAACGATGTTTAAATAAAAACCAGAAAAGTTAATCAACGGATCTAACGAAGTATCGGCAAATAGAACTCAGAGGAAAACAATGCGCAAATAAATAAATAAATAAATAAATAAATAAATAAATAAATAAATATCTGAAGAAAAAAAAAGATTAAAAAGAAAGAAAAGACTAAGCATGAAGTTATGGAAAAAGAAACTAAAAGCTATTAAGTTTTATGCAGGGTTTTCTACTTTATAAAAAATTCAATAACTTTCACGACTTCTTGTATCCAGTAACGTATTGCTAATGTGTACAAATGGGGCTCAAATCATCAACATTGATAGAGACATACGAAGAACAAAGTACATCAGCTCAGAACTCTTGTTGAACGCGTTATCGGCAAAATAAAAAATAATGTATTTCTGAACTCAACGACAAGTGAATTGGAAAATTTATGGGTCATATATTGTTATTTAGAAAAGCCTTTCTGTAAGCTTCTCCTGCATAGTACATATATGGTAAAGACATAAAATGAATAATAAAAAATAATCTAACAATGTATTTGTAAAGTAATACAAAAATGCTAAGTATTTAAGTACGGATTTTTTTAACTGTCTTAAATACGTTGAAAAGTATTAAATGTATGGAAAATACTTTATTTGAATCATTTTATTGTCTATCATTGAAAACGATGAAAATACGCATGAAAACATTAAAAAATCAAATAATTTGCCCTATTGCTATAATTTTGTTTTGGTCTGACGGTTTTGTTTCAGTTTGACAGAATTTTCACACTTGTCAGACCAAAAGTCGGACATTTTTTACCTGTCGTAAATTTTGTACATATGCTAGTGTAAAACACGGTAAACAGTGTAATTATGATAATAGGTGAGGCAGGTTTTTTCGACTCCTTCCTAGACGATAATATCGTCTAGAAAGGAGTCGAAAAAACCTGTCTCACCTATTTAACACACACAATTAATTACATAATTGTGGCCGCCCCTCTACCCGAACAATTGAGCAAGTAATACCCGATGCCTTATCAGGTGCCAAATGATTTAATCAGTAAACCGACGAACAATCTGCGCGTCAGTTTTACCTGAAGACACAGTAGGTACGAGTAAATCAATGCAGGAAATCTTTTCATTTTATTATTTTAAAAATCTGTTAAGACATCGTTCAAACAAGACATAAAAACCGTAATGAACTGATACTACATGTACGCATGATAGTAAAATTTAAAATGAAGTGATAGCGCCACAGCTTGCATATATACATGCAATATTATGAAGACGTACGTACCTGTCCATACACTAGAAAGTTGTGTACGAGCATTTAAAGAACACTAGCTGAAGCTATAGTTCGTCATCATTAAAGAAAGTGCAGCCAAGGGTCGGACGCTTAGGTGAAGTCTTGTTGTACAGCGCATCGTATTTAAACTGAGAAATATTACATATAATTGCTCGATTCTCCGTCCAAATAGCTGTGTTTTCTTGCCTACAGTTGACGCATTTCTGTGCTTCAGCCACCTTTTTAGTTTGACATAGCAGTGCACGCTGCAAACGGCCTTTTATAGGCCTATACGCACCATGTACATCATCGACACATAGCGGTGCCATGCTGGAAACAGCAGAAGGACTACAATGACCCATGTGGCGCGCGGTTTCTGTCACGCGCACTTCTTATTTCCGCAAAAGATGAAAAGGGTCTATAGAAACTACGAGAGCTTGGAAATTTGCAGTGTGGCCGGTTCATGGTGAATAGTAGGTTAAAGGTCAAATTCAAGGTCACAGGAAGACTTTCAATATACGAGTTTCTACTCAAGTAGTAACTAATTGTAGTATAGAACGCTTTGCGCTGAAGTTACTCGGGCGCAACTGCCACGCTTCAGCTACCGGTGCTAACTTAATAGCTAATATTTATAATTAAATCACAATGCAACAGAAACTTTTTGAATGAGGACATGTTAGTTTACGGGCATTTGACGCTCTTGGGAACAGGCAATTAAATACTTATAAATTCCCAACATGTCTACGGTTTATAAAGTACCTAAACTTTTTTAAAATTAATTTAAACGCTATTAATTTTGCATCAGTCGTGCCGCATTGAAGAGAATGAATATATGAGAATGAATCAGGCGTGTCGCACAAGAGAATGAAGTATGCATTATGTACTGGTATTTCACCTTCGTGTGTATATGCATACGCTACAAAAAAGCATAAATATATAGTAAATGCGAAGGTTAATATTTTTTCGTACTGCATTCATAAATTCTTCGCAAGATGACACTTACCCTTAATCGGGATCGACCGGTGTTCAAAAGACGACCCCGACGAGTTTAGGACGTAATTTTAATTTAGTCTGGGCAGGCAAACTTGCAGCACTGAATCCGTGTAAGATGGTAATGACTAATAAAATGTGTATAAAAGCTACCCTCTACCTAGGTGGCAGATATAGACAAAATTTTTCAAAAAGCCAGAGAATCAAATAACTATCTATTTATCTAAAGACATACCTTGAAAACATCTTGTGAAAAATCAATCTGTCGCCCTGTTAAAGGGCGTATAAAAGCCACTTCTTGTAATGAATCCGTGTCAGTTGTTGAATAAACCAGCATTACATTAACTTAGCCTTGTGGTTGACATGGTTTCTGTCGCACACACTGAATCTGGGATTGATCAAAGAAGCACTGAGACGGATCATACATGGTGATATTAGATACTTAATATTACAATGGTATGGAAAAAGGTCCTTGTCGTGCTACTGGTAATAGCTCAGTGCTCTGCAATATTGTTTTTGTTGTATTGGAAGGGTAAGTATATTGCTTTAAACCTTTGTAACTCTTTGGTTACAATAACACAAGCATGTTTTAAACAATCGATGGTTAATGGAAAGCACATGGAATTTGAGATGAAAAAATATTATCTTAAGAAAGTTAGAATATGTCTGAAAAATTCAAACTTAAATCTTCAAGAATACTGAATTACGTAGATGTGTTTTGGACTACTATCTCGCCAACATGTTCTACTTTGAATAGAATATGTTGGCGAGATAGCAATCCAAAAGACAGCTGACTTATTTAAGCGGATGGTAATCAAAAGGATTTATGTATCCAGTTGGCATTCATATAAAATCAAACTGACTGGGCTTTTATCACATACATGTGCAATGGTTTCAGGCAGCCAACGCCAAGCCCAGGTTCTCCCTTTTCAACCTGTTCAAGTTCACCACAAAGAAGAAGCAAATCAAGATGCATTCAAAGGCAAATATATCAACATCTCTTATGGAACACAGAAATACAATCGAGATAGTGATGTCATAGATGATACAATCTGGCAGGTATTTCTACGTATATTTCTCAACCTACTTATCAATAATTTCACTAGTTCAATCAAACATTCCTATTCACTGTGTATCTGTACATAAAAAAAAATATCAGGGTCGCCGCCATTCTATTATTTTTCTTTGCACGTGTTTTGATGATAAATGCATTAAAAAAGGCGTACTATTCTTGCATCTCAGTGCCACAGTAATTATGCACATAGACAACTACAGATTTTGAAGCAAAAGTAAATAATGATAATAATATTTATTTCTTAAAAACCGCACTACACTACTGTCTCAGTGCTGTTTACAAATATAATTATCAGAATTACAAGTGATTATATAAATAATAAAAGCTGAGATTAATAAAACAATTAAAATGAATAATGCTGGTGATGATAGTAATAGTCTAAACAATAAAACTATTTTCTGAGAAAATGAGAAAATATTTAATTTCAAGTATTAAATTTTAATTGAAGTACTGTGAAAATAAGAATGTTTTCAAATCTTTTTTTAAAAACCACTTTTTAAAAACAACACTATATCAAAACAACAAGTGCATATCAAATCACATTATCCCATATGTATTTCAATTATTAAAATCCCATCAAATTGCAGCAATTTGTGCTGCGCCACTGGATCCTCTGCCGCCACACTGGAGTGCGATCTTTGTTGACCTCCTTTTTACCCATAACAATGTTTCTCTGTTGAGGTAATTTTTTAAAATTTTCTTTCAGTCATTCAGTTGGAACAAGGTGCCAGACGATTGGGTGTCAGTTATCAACTGGAGAAAACGTATGTTACAAGACAGATGCCGCAACCGTAAAACTGTTTCAACCTCCCATGTGAATACAGGACAGCGTATTATTGTGGAAGACCAACACAAACTCATTCTCTGCACCCTGAATAAAGCTGCAAGTCGTAGCTGGGGAATGGTGTATTTGACTCTCTCTGGACAGGTTGATCCCTCATCAGATTCGATAACCAAGAAAAAATCTGGCAATTACACGCAGTTACTCTCTTTCGACAACAATGGCATC